GGCCCCTGGGGACTCACAGTCGCCGACGAGGATGCCGTCGCCGATGCTCGGGCCGTGAGCTGGGACCAGGGATTCTGACGATGTCGCAGAACGATACGACGCCGAAGGGGTACAGGGTTGCGCCAGAGCACGAGGCTTCTCTCTGAGGTGTCGAGTGACTGCCCGATCGATCTCCAATAATGTATTTCGACGGTTAGGTATCCCTCCAAGTGCGCTCATCTGTAATGCACTCCAAACATCCAGGATTGTGTACGTCCCAGAAGAGTTAGACAATCTTGAAATCAGGCGAATGGCTGGTTGCCGTCCACAAAACACCGACAGAACATGTTCAATCGCAGTTTTTGTCAAGTGAACTCGGCATCCCCTCAGAGAATCTCCAGACGTCCCATGGGTAAGCAAAGCCCGTGCCAAGTCATTTTCCATCACATCATGCCACGGCAGAGCAAACGAAACGAGCTGCAAAACCAAAATGGCTGCGGAAACTGATGCGTATTTCTTGTGCATGTTGCAATGTCAGCGCAGCCGTGGGTGCTCTGCGGGAGTGTGTTGTTGTTTTTTCGTGCAACCAAATCAACCATCGGTTCAGAATCGGTGATTTTTTTCGAGTGTGTTTGTCTCAACAACAGTGATTTTTGAGTTCGATTTTACACCACTGATGCGCGTGAACGCTGTTTTTTTTCAGCTCGTTCCTTTGAACATGATATTTTTTTGATGCCTGATTTTTGATGCTGAACTGAACGGGCGCTGCGTTTGAAGAGGCTGTTTTCGAAGGTGCTGGGCAGTGCTGGGCCCGAAGGGCCTTGGCCTGATGGAGTGCTGGGCCCGCGGGGGCTGGATCCCAGCACGCCGTTTGGGGCAGTTTAGAGCACGCAGATCACCTCCCCAATCAACAAGGGGCCGGAACGAAAAATTACCCAAGGCCAGGAGGCAACTACTGGGAGGTTTTCGTCGGAAAGATTAAGGAGGATTAAGCCCCATTTGAGAGCTGTTACTCCAGAGCGGGCCTCGGGTTAAGCGGGATAAAGCGGGATCAAGCGGGATCAAGCGGGATTGAGCCGGATTAGGCCGGATTTCGAACCATGAAAACAGATTATCCAGGTAAAGCAACCTAACAGCGATGTGTTTAAGCATATCTGGAAGCATTCCCCTTAAGATTCAGGTGAGAATCCAGTTGTAGAATTCTGCTTTTCTCGCAGTCGCAGTCGCAATGACAGTCGCAGTGGCAACGGCCTTAGGATCCAATGGAATCCTAAGGATTCCTAGGGATTCCCAAGGCATCCTTAGGCATCCTTAGGAATCCATAGGAAACATTAGGAATCCTTAGGAATCCTGATTCCTAGGGATTCCTAGGGATTCCTAAGGATTCCTAGGGAATCACAAGGATTCCGAAGGATTCGCCTGCCTCGGCCTCAGCCTCAGCCTGCCTCAGCCTCAGCCTGCATCAGCCTCAGCCTCAGCCTGCCTCATCCTCAGCCTGCCTCAGCGTCAGCGTCAGCCTCAGCCTCAGCCTGCCTCGGCTTGCCTCGGCCTCAGCCTCAGCCTGCCTCGGCCTCAGCCCCAGCCTCAGCCTGCCTCAACCTCAGCCTCAGCCTGCCTCGGCCTCAGCCTGCATCAGCCTCAGCCTCAGCCTGCCTCAGCCGCAGCTTACCTCAGCCTCAGCCACTGCCCCAGCCTCGGCCACTGCCTGCCTCAGCTTCAGCCTCAGCCTCAGCCTGCCTCGGCTGCCTCAGCCTCAGCCTCAGCCTGCCTCGGCCTCAGCCTCAGCCTCAGCCTGCCTCAGCCTCAGCCTCAGCAGCCTCAGCCTGCATCAGCCTCAGCCTCAGCCTCAGCCTGCCTCAGCCTCGGTCTCAGCCTGCCTCAGCCTCAGCCTGCCTCAGCCGCAGCCTCAGCCTGCCTCAGCCTCAGCCTGCCTCAGCGTCAGCGTCAGCGTCAGCCTCAGCCTGCCTCGGCTTCCCTCGGCATCAGCCTCAGCCTGCCTCGGCCTCAGCCTCAGATTGCCTCAGCCTCAGCCTCAGCCTGCCTCAGCCTCAGCCTGCATCAGCCTCAGCCTCAGCCTGCCTCAGCCGCAGCTTGCCTCAGCCTCAGCCAAAGCCTCAGCCCCTGCCTCAGCCTCGGCCTCAGCCTCAGCCTGCCTCAGCCTCAGCCTCAGCCTCAGCCTGCCTCGGCCTCAGCCTCAGCCTGCCTCAGCGTCAGCGTCAGCCTCTCAGCCTCAGCCTGCAGCAGCCTCAGCCTCAGCCTCAGCCTCAGCCTGCCTCAGCCTCGGTCTCAGCCTGCCTCAGCCTCAGCTTGCCTCAGCCTCAACTTCAGCCTGCCTCGGCCTCAGCCTGCGTCAGCCTCAGCCTCAGCCTGCCTCAGCCTCAGCCTGCCTCAGCCTCAGCCTTAGCCTGCCTCGACGTGCCTGAGCCTCAGCCTCAGCCTGCCTCGGCCTCAGACTGCCTCGGCCTCAGCCTGCCTCAGCTCGGACATTCAAAATATGGCACAGGACTTGTGTTCTGGGAGCACGAAGATCACGAAGTGGCCCACAGTTCGCTCCGGGCAATCAAAATATGGTACAGGAAATGGTGTTCCGGGAACATGAAGAACACAAAGTGGCCTACAGCTTGCTCCGGGCATTCAAGATGTGGCCTAGGAATGGTGTTCTGGGAACACGAAGAACACGAAGTGGCCTACAGTTGGCCCCGGGCATTCAAAATGTGGCCTAGGAATGGTGTTCTGGGACGACGAAGAACACGAAGTGGCCTACAGTTGGCCCCGGGCATTCGGTGTTCTGGGACGACGCAGAACACGAAGTTGCCTAGAGTTGGCCCCGGGCATTCAAAATGTGGCATGGGAATGGTGTTCTGGGAATGGATTCCTAAGGATTCCTAAGAATTCCTAGGGATTCCTAAAGATTCCTGGGGCTGCACTTTTGTCCGGTTCCTTGTCCGGATCCCGCCCAGACCCCCCTGGGGCGTCAAGATGCTCTCTTTTGATCCCACTCGAAACCTATCAGCAAAAGCTGTTAGATAAATATGACCTCCCAGGAGTTGCATCCGAACCAAGGGGACGGAGTCGGGGCCCGTGGGGTCGCACATGAGGGCGGGAGATCCTGACACCCTCGCAGACCAGCCAACACTGGGGAACCTGTGTATAACCGAGTGACCCGAGTGACCGCGGGTGGCGTAGTTGGGTAAATCGGAGGGAGTGTCGGCGCAAAGAGAAACAAGACAGCACCCTCGCTATGCGAGCACGGGGAGGGGGCTCACAATGTAGAATCAAACGCGGCGGCGGCGGACATTCGCGGCAACGCGTCTGACGACCTTTCGGACAATGTATACCAAAACGTGCGACCCGCACTCCACGTTTGCACAACGATGCGGAACAGACCTCGTGGCCGCTCAGAGCTCGATGATGTGTCCACTCGCTCGCTGTGCAAGTCGGGAATATCCCAGACCTGTACGAAAAGGCACTCCTGTCGGTACATGTTCATTGTTAACCTGACCGTAGGGCGAAAGACCACATTCGCACAGATAGGCGGAACTGCGCGCGGAAGCGGGCCGCGCACAGCCAAACTCGTGCTGCGGCGAGTGGGAATATTGGGAGGAAGGCGAAATGGAAATAAAAAATACAGAGAGCCAGACGGGGACAATCGGACGGGAAAAAAATTGCGGATCTCTGAGATCCCGCGGTCCTGGAGGATGCATCGGGCGCCACTGCCGTTCCAAGGCGCTCCAGAACGCTCCGAGAGAGCTCGGAAACGCTCTGAAGCGAGTTGTCGAGGTCCTTGGCCCGCACGAGGGAGGAAGAGGCGGGCTGGGCTGCCTTACCCTCGCCCCTGCACTGCGTCCTCGCAACGACGCTCCCACGACCTCTTTCCGCACTCTCCAGACGTCTCTCACAACGAGGCGCAGCCGTGGGCCTCCTTCCAGCACAGAGCAAGGGGCCGGTAGCTCGAGATCCAGAGCCGTCTCCTGCTCCTCCTCATACTCCTATTCCTCTTCCTCTTCCGTCTTCCTTCTTCTTCTCCTCCTCATCCTCCTCTTGATCCTCATGTTCATCCTCATCCACATCCTCATCCTCCTCCTCATCATCATCATCATCATTAGCATCAGCATCATCATCAGCATCATCATCATAAACACCATCGTCGTCATCAGCATCATCAGTATCAGTTTCCACATCCTCAGCATCATCGGCATCAGCATCATCATCAGCATCATCACCATTATCATATTCATCACCATCATCATCGTCGACATCATCATCATCAGCAGCATCATCATCATCATCCTCATCATCATCATCATCATCATCATCATCATCATCATCATCAGCATCATCATCATCATCCGCATCATCATCCGTAGAATCGTCCTCATCAACCTCATCATCATCCTCACCAGCAACGGCAACATCAGGATCATCACCATCACCATCAGCATCCCCATCATCATCAACATCAGCATCACCATACCCATCAGCATTATCCTCATCATCAGCAGCATCTTCAGCACCAGCTTCACCAACATCCTGATCCTCATCCTCATCATCAGCAACGGCATCAGCAGCAGCATCAGCATCGTCCGTATCAGCATCAGCATCATTACCAGTAGCATCAGCATCAGCATCAGCACCATCATCATCATCATCATCACCATCATCATCATCATCAGCAACATCATCATCATCATCATCAGAATCATCATCATCATCATCATCATCATCAGCAGCAGCAGCAGCATCATCGGCACCGCCATCATCATCTGATTATATATCCTCTTCCTTTTCGTCCTCCAACATCTGCTCCTCCTCCTTCTCCTCCTCCTCCTCGTCCACATCCTCCCCCCTCTGCTCCTCCTCCTCCTCCTCCTCCTCCTCCTCCTCCTCCTCCTCCTCCTCCTCCTCCTCCTCCTCTGGTCCCACCTCCCCTCCTGTCCTCCTCCCTCGTCCCCCGTGGGCCGCTCGGACACACGCCCCCGAGACCGACCGCCAACGAACAAACCCTCCTCAGGCGGATCGGCGAGTCCTGCCGCAGTCTTGCACGTGATCCTGCGCCTGGTGCGCGGGGTCGGCGTGCCGTCGGTCGCTGCCCTCTTGCCGCCGCCTGCTTCGTCTCGATCTCCTGAAGGGGCAGGCGATCTCACAGCATCCGCCTCCCACCCCTCACCAATCGGGCGTTGCTGAATGGGGGGACACTCAAAGGGGAGATGAACAAACGTTTGCCCCGTTCGTGCACGCGTGGGTCTCAGGAAGGCCATGCTAGGGTTGCCATCCCGGCAACCTTTGATCCCCTTCACCGTCGCCCCCGAACCCATTACAACACCTTCCATCCTTCGAGTCAATGACCACACGCCCGAACCGAGCCGGTACAGAAAGATCACAGGCGTCGTGCCAGACGGTGGGCGAGAGGGGGGGAAAGGCCAGGGACGAACCCCGTCTACTGCTAGCGACCATTCGCTGTGTCCGTCGCGGGGGGCAGGATCAATAGACGCCGAGAGGAACGAGAAGGGGGACGGCGAGGAGGGCGGGGAAGCGGCGACTGGGAGCCCCCATTGCAACGTCCGCTGCCCGGCATGCCCCCCTGGCCTCTCCTCCCTCCTCCTCCCTACCTCCTCCTCCCTCCTCCCTCCTCCCTCCTCCCTCCTCCCTCCTCCCTCCTCCCTCCTCCCTCCTCCTCCTCCTTCGCCTCCTCCTCCTCCTCCTCCTCCTCCTCCCTCCCCCGTCCGTCCGACCCTCTCCCCTCACCATGACGGAGAAGGATCCCGAGGGGCACGGGTCCTCAACCCTGGGGTCTCCTCTCA